CTTAATTAACATAATTAATTAACACTGATATCTCAATTACTGATCATCACATTTGAATAAAATTTGGTACTTAAATGCTCTAGGACAATAGACAGGCCTGATTAATTTTGGGTTAAAATTTGTTCATATTAATTCTCTAATTAGCATAATAATTCATAATTTTTTTGTTCTGTTCTGTTCATATTAGTTACTTGATTTACATAATTAATTAGTTTTCAGTTTTTCCATCAATATCTCAGGTACAAGTAATTTTTAATTAATTTTTAATGTGTCTTCAATACTCTCAGCACACGGGAGTTCTTTCTAAGCTTTCTTTGATTAATTAGTGCTGTTCCAGAGCAATATCTGTCAATATGGACAAGTACTCGTTTGATGATCAGATACAAGATGTCAATCATTTTAATGCTAAAAAATCATCATAATCAAGCATCATCTTCTGGATCCATACTTCTGACATGTTTATGATACAACTATATTAATATAATCAAAACTATATATATTAAATCTGATAACTAATGGGGACTGTGCCATACATGGCTTGTTATAGCATGGCTTGGATAAATAAAGTTTAATTATCTTGATAATGAATTCAATATTATTATATAAATCATAAAACTTTTTGGGTTGTATTAGTTTCAGGATTTGTAGTAGTAACCACAAACCTATTGACATAAACAAAACTAGAGAAGATTGGTGGAAGGTAGGTGTATATCAAATCTATATAGACCTATGTTTAGGTTGTATAATTGTTATGAGGGTTTATATATCACCAGAGTATAAAGACCTGTGTTTGTTAGTGTAGTGAAATTATGGTATATGTACCTGCAGTCATACTGACATCAGCTTTTCAAAAATTCGAAAACAGTTTAACATTCAAGTATAATTCAAGTATAATTTGGAAATTATTGCTGTTCAAGAACAACATTATTCCAGAAAGTGATGACCTTTTTCTTGGAACTATTTTTTTTCCAACTTTCAGGCACTATTAAACTTGTTTAGCCTTTTCACTACCAGACTTTTTTGCCTAAAATTGTCTGCACTTTTTTCTTACCCTCTTCAATATTTCTAGAAATGAACCCTAATTTTGGAGCCAACAGACAAAATTTGAGTCAATTTTAAGTTTTTACTTAAAAAAACTTGGATATTGTTGTTCTAATCTTTCGAAAGAAAGTGCAGACTATAAACGGGACTATATTGTGAATTTGTGATGAAAATAGGGAACTGGTGGTGAAATGTTTAACAGTTTGTGTTATCTTTCCTCAGTAGACCAGCTTAATGTATGACTGTCTTTGTAGGCATTAAAGGCGGGTAGTAAAGATAGAAGATCAGCTCTTAGTGACGAGTCTGATGATGACGTATTCTCTTTTAATAATGATATATTAACTACTGAGAGTGTATTATCACAGAACCAAGGAATAACATCAACAATTATGGGTATCCAGGAGGTAATTATGCTCTTAGCTCGGTAGAAAATTTATAATCTTGAGTATGTTTGTACTGATCCTTATCTCTAGAATGATTTTTTCCATTTGAATTGTTTTAGTTATAAAATTTGCATCTAATTTGCATAATTAACAAACCTGCTTGCCATCATGTGAACTATTTTTCTTCTTCATATTGTTTAGAAATTTTGAATGCTCCAATTTTTCAAATCATAACATTTTGTATGTATTTTTCAACAATTTGTTATTTTTGGACCTAATGGACACATCTTATTTTGTTAAAAATGAAAAAAGAAGACTTTGATGTTTAGAGGTTTTAATAACACATGTGATGCCTTCCACAATTTTCTTATCCAACATATTACCTGTGTTCTGTGCCAGAACAATGTAACTATTCACTTGTACTTGTTTTATGTAAGGAATTGGAAAAGTTGAACTCTGTGCTTGGCATAGTGAATGTACAAAGTGAAGCCAGTCACAGCATACAGAGATTACAAGAACTAAGTAAGACATTGGAGTCACATATCAAGAGACCCTTGCCACAAAGGTATGAATGTATCTTGAATTGGCCAATCAACATTCTAGAAATACAAAATAGTGTTTTATTTGTCAAAATTCTGATTTTTATTAGATTTGCATATTCAATAAAGTTGGTAATCTGATTTGCATGATTAATAATGATAGTAATTAAAATTTGCACATTTAATGAAGAAGTGGTCAAATTTGCATAATTAATGAAACAAATACTGTAAAATACTTAATTTTCACTTGAATTAATTTTCGCTGAAAAGACATTTTGGATGTTTCATATGGAATTTATTTTCACTGATTTTTAACAAGTTGAATGTAAAATAGAGGAAAAAAGGCATGTTCGCATAATTCAGTCATTCCTTTAGCGAAAGTTACTTCCAAGCAAAAATAAAGTATTTTACAGTAGTATTTTATTTGTCAAAATTCTGATTTGAATCGGATTTGCATATTCAATAAAGTTGGTAATCTGATTTGCTTGATTAATAATGATAGTAATTCAAATTTGCATATTTAATGAAGAAGTAATCAAATATGCATAATTAATGAAGCAAATAGATCTGATAAAAAAAATTACACTATGATTTAATTTTATCTTCCAGACCGATAGCTTTTGGTAATCGGGCTAGTGCCACATCAACCGATACCTACCAGTCTATCTCGGATACTTCATCTCAAAACAGTGACTTTTCATCAAACGACCAACAAAGAGAACGATATGTATCGGATCCAACAAAATTGAAACTGCCAGGGGATGATATAACACATAATGGCATTCAAGGAGATAATGAACTTGAAATCATTAATAGTGCGTCTGAACCTGAAGATGTACAATTGAATAGAACTGAACCATCTACGTCAATATCTGCATCTCCATCTCCACCGCCACCAACATCAGAGTCAACAGAGTCAACCAATGAGTCATCTCAACCGCCGTTATCTCAACCGTCTTCATCTCGAACGGCTCCACCCCCTCCACTTCCTCCACTTGCACCCCCATCTCCACCACCACCACCACCACCACCTCCTCCTCCTCCAGGACCAGGGGGGATTCCGCCGCCTCCACCGCCGCCGCCACCACCTCCAAATATTGGAGGACCGCCACCACCTCCACCACCACCAGGTAAATTTGAAATATACTGTTATCTCAAGATGATCCAAAAATAGGAAATGTACCCTGAGATTTACTAGTTATACAAAGATGTTGTTGTACACAAGACACTTACCTCTTTGTTATTTTAGAATCAGGTGAACTGAACTATTTACAAATTACTAAGATGTATTCTTTTATACACATTGGTAATTATACAGATAGGTGGGCCACATAATATGCATTGATGATTTATACAGATGGGTGGGCCACATTTATGCATTTATGATTGATACAGATGGGTGGGCCACATAATATGCATTGATAATTTATAAAGATGGGAGGGTCACATAATATGCATTGATAATTTATACAGATGGGAGGGCCACATAATATGCATTGATGATTTATACAGATGGGAGGGTCACATAATATGCATTGATAATTTATACAGATGGGAGGGTCACACAATATGCATTGATACAGATGGATGGGCCACATTTATGTATTGATAATTTATATAGATAGGAGGGCCTTGTAATATGCATTTATGATTTATACAGATGGGTGGGCCACATAATATTCATTGATGATTTATACAGATGGGAGGGCCACATTTATGCATTTATGATTGATACAGATGGGTGGGCCACATAATATGCATTGATAATTTATACAGATGGGTGGGCCACATTTATGCATTGATGATGTATACAGATGGGTGGGCCACATAATATGCATTGATAATTTATACAGATGGGTGGGCCACATTTATGCATTTATGATTGATACAGATGGGTGGGCCACATTTATGCATTTATGATTGATACAGATGGGTGGGCCACATTTATGCATTGATTATGTATACAGATGGGTGGGCCACATAATATGCATTGATAATTTATACAGATGGGAGGGCCACGTAATATGCATTGATGATTTATACAGATGGGAGGGACACATAATATGCATTGATAATAAGCGAATAATAGGATAATAGAAAATGCCATACACTCTGATATGATATTGTTATATTTTACAGGCACACCTCTAAGTCTTCTTTGGGGTTCACTGCCAACAAAAAACACAGTCAAAGCAAGTGTCAAAATGAGACCATTTCATTGGTTCAAAGTACCACCAAATATGGTAGGCTATATGCAAATAATTGACCTTTAAGATATGTTACTTATAAATAAGTTAGTATTTGTGTTTCAATCACAATCTTTGTTTATTTTATACTCAATCAAGATTGGCTGCGACAAATTCACAAATTTTATGAGTCAGTGGATATTGCTAAATTTTGTAGCAGTGGAAATGTTTCAGGGTGGGGGTGAGGGTGGGGGTGGGGTGGGGTGGGTGGTTACATACAACACAACAAACCTCAGCGACTTTAACCAAATTTTGCAGCAGTGGGAATTTTACGTCTTTTACTAAATTTTGTCTAAAATCATTTTGTCATCATTGGGGTTTCTTTAGATTTTTTGAATTCAATATTACTTTTGAACCAAAATTTTAAATATAATATTTTTCATTGATTTAAAACAGTTTCTAATCGATGTCTTCAATAAAAATCAGCAGAAGATTTTAAAGTGGATTCATTTCTGAGGAAGGTTTCAAAATTTGACATAGTGAAGCGGTTGTAAGAAAATTATAATCATTGTTTTCCTAATTTGTATTCATACTTTTAGATAAAAAAGTCTGCTTGGGATAAAGTTGATGATCTGACGGATAAAATAGATAAAGCTCTATTAGAGAGTTTGTTTTCAGCAACCAATAATGTGCAATTAGTGACATCCGGTAAGTACTGTAATATGGGTAAAATTGCTTTGTATTTTCTGAAACTATGATAGAGGCTGAATATATGTCATATTATCATGATTGACAGATGTTTAATTTTTCTATGGCAGACATCTAGGCATTTTCACTGCTTGGCAACCATTACTTGTGAAAACAATGGTAGAAAACTCTCCGAAAACAGTACTTTTAGATAGTTGTGACTCTCCTGAACAGTGTAACAAGATTATGTTCTGTGATGTAGCTCCATCCCTAGAATAATTGTCATAATTTTTCATGTAAAGATTAAAATTGAGAAACAACAGCATGCGTAGTTAATGGCCTTGGCACTATATCATATTTTCTCTTACGGACCACTGTAAAATACTTTATTTTAGCTGAAATTAATTTTTGCTGAAACGACTTTTTGGATGTTTTGTATGGAATTTATTTTTAATGATTTTTGACGAATTGAATGTAAAATATAGGAAAAAAAGGTATATTCGCTTGATTTTATTTTCACTGAAGGAATGATTCAGTGAAAATATTGAAAATTAATTCCAAGCGAAAATAAAGTATTTCACAGTATTAGAAGTGTTTATTTGCATACGGGATCATTAAAATATAAATTTAATAATTTGACCGTAAAGCAAATATGGTAAACTATCTACAAGCGTCCACTGTTAACACTGACGAAAACATATTTGGCTTTCGTAATATAAAAAAGAAACTGACCCTTTTATTTGACATCATCTTAGATTCAATGAAAAAGAAGTCCAAAACTAGATTACTAGATCCTAAACTTTCTCAGAATATTGCTATATTCTTGAGTGGATTCAGAGTAGAACCCCAAGAATTGAGAGCACGTCTTACATACTTATCTGAGGAAGATGGAGGACTAAGTGTAGAGCATCTCAATATTCTGAGAAGGTGAGTTATTTTAAAATAGCACTTTGCCAACAGGAAATATAGTGGTCCATTTGTACGCTCGTTAAGTCGTAGCACACTGTGTTTTATTGAAGATATTGTGCCCAGAATCTGAATTACATGTTTAATGACCATTTGTGTTCATGTGACCTCATTAAAAATGCCTAAATATCATATCTGAAACACATATAGATGGATGTGCTTGTAATAAAGATACTGAACGTCTGCTATCACTGATGGCTTCTTTGTTATTGTAGAATAACCAGGGTCAATTTACTCTAGTTAGCACTGACAAGCACTTTACAGATGAGCCAAGGTGAAAAGTATGCCAACTGGTTTCAGTCGTATACCGTACTTATCCGGGTAAGAGCCCATGCCTGGGCAAACGCCCACCCCCCACTTTTGACACAATAAAGAGTTGAGGTCATATCCAGGCACATGCCCAGGGGGTCTTATTCTACACACACAAAAAAAAACAAAAAAACAAAAAAAAAACTATTTTCTATTCGTTGACTGTGGTTGAATTAACAGTTGACTTTCTTGAAGTCTGTCGCGATGCTTATAAAAATTGTTAATTGCGTAAAACATGGGGTGGACGCAAAATAGCTGTGACAGCTTTCTGCCTTCAGGGCAGTGCGTTCACCGCTGATTTTTTTCAGAATCATAACAGTCAGCAAGTCTATAAAAATATATATTTTAAAGCAGAAACGGTAGTTCTCTTTTTGAAATGTGTCGTGGCCCTAAAAAGGGCCGACCGTTTGGATTGTGCTTCTTTGGAAACGATTCAAGCAAATCGTATAAGGAGAGCCGCTCAGCAAGTGTCGCACTCGTTCGGCTTTAGCGTCGTCGACAATGAAACAATGTTGCAATATTGTAGCAACCCGTACCTGGGAGAGTGGTTGAAATCACGTTTTGTAGCAGCTAGCGAATCCATAACTGGGGCCAGCAATTTTGCAATGTCACGCCGAAGACTGCCAACTTTTTTATCATCTTTCATCACCGCTATTGCATTTCTGTCATGAAAACTATTCTTCTGTCGTTGGATAAAAAAAAACTTCCTATTTCAAGTCCACCTCGATATCCATATAGTGAGACATTCCAACCGCCGGAACTTTCATGTATGATAACTTTCACCGTGATTGATAAGTGTCGAGTCTGATAAGAAAGCAATGTCATGATTTGACCTTTATGATGAAATACTCGTAGTGATGTCATTCTTAGCCAATCAGTAAAGCAGATGCATAAAGACCAAAGATGATTGCTGAACTGTAAACAAATACATCGTGTGACATCGCAGCAGAGCGACCCAATTTTTCTTGTCTCTTTATTGTGATTAGACATGAATGAAAAGTGCCAAGCTGACAGACTGCGAAATCCGTGGATTAAAAGTGCTAAGTCCAAATTGTGTGGGACGATATCAACGAACTTCAGGAATAAGTTGTAGGGATTTTGTTCGACGGCTACAGTGACGCCGACTTGGACTTCGTGGGTTTTGAGTTTGACGAAGATGGCAATGAACGTACAAATAAAGATCTGGGAGGTTTTTTCAAACAGCTATGAATTTTTATAATTTTTACTGTGTAAATTTGTAAATTATTATTGATCTTGTATGACGGTTGATTCGTAATTTGTTGAGACCGGATATCATTTTACGCAGTTTAACCCCTGACATTTTAATTCATTTTGAGTTCATGCGTATTGGTCGTGTTTGTCGGCGGGAAAATCCTAATTCAAATGATTCCTCATTGTCGATTTTTATTATTTCTGGTTTATTTGTCACATTATAAGCAATACATTAATTTTTTTTTACTTCTAATGTTGCATATTGTTCATTTATTTCCGTTGCATGTTTTCAGTTGCCGTTCTATTCCCTGCCGCAGTTCGATCTGCGTGTTGTCAATTTTCGTGAATTTTCGGGGTTTTTTTTGCCGGGGATCTCCTGGCAAACGCCCACCCCTTCTTTTTGGCAATTTTCCATGTTCAAGACCCTGGGCTTATACCCGGATAAATACGGTAATAAGAAACATAGTTTGGAATCGTTAAAATCGAACTAGTACAAACATTTGTTGGTTTTGTGTCTGTTTTGCATTTCAATATTAGATATGGTATATTTACAAACGATTCCATTCAGTAACTGGGTCATACAATTTTAATATAAACTTTTTTTTCAAAATGACTTGATTAGTTACCGAGGTACGTTAGATATTCAAATTAGAAGTTGTCAACATGGGGTTCAATATTTCACTTTCAGAGCTGCAATTGTAAACATCAACACTTCTTGTTTACAGATACCAACCAACGATGGATGACATTGAAATGTACAAACAATATAAAGGAGACCCTGCTGAGTTGGAAGCAACTGATCAGTTCATGATGCAACTGTGTGAGATACCATCACTGAAATCAAGATTAGATTTATTACTCGTAGTGAACGAATTCCCGCTGGCATTTGAGGAACTGAAACCTGTGAGTGAAATGGGTACAATGTATCATATTTCTTGAATGTTGGTTTTCAAAGTTTATTTGTGTTGTATCGTTATAGTTTAGTTACCTTTAGGTGAGTTCTGCATTTAATTCTATTTGCTGTTTTAACAAATTTCTGTCTGGATTTTGACATACCAGCAGTCATTGTGATCAAATTTATTGGGATTTTTAGATAGAAATAAAAGTTGTTATATTTCGTTTTTGCCTTGCCCGTATCATCAAAGATGGAAGTGAAAGGTATATTAAGTGAAAAATGTCTGTCGCCGTAGTCGCTGTTGTTGTCGTAGTCGTCGTTGTTGTTGTCGTAGTCGTCGTTGTTGTTAATAATTGTTAATGTGTTCGCAATAACTTTACTAATTCTATTCCAAACTTTATCAAACTTTAATAGTCACCTAATTCATCAATATAAAATCTTCCCTTAGTTCGAACAACAGATGTCATGTTTAAAAATATCATGCAAAAATTGAGAAAATCTGATAAAATATTTTTGACTGTTTCTACATGACTGATCACTGGTGATACGGCTTTGATTTTTTTTTTAAATCAAGAAATTAGTTGTTTTCGAAAGATAAGCTGAGCATTGAAGAAGAATTTCACCCTTTTGACGATAATAACAGTTCATTGTCGAAACGCAGTTTACCCATTCATGCTACCCTCAATAAACCTGTACTCTGGAATAAGAGTACGAAAAATCTAAATTAGACTCTAATGTTCGAAAAATTATGCCTTAATTTAAAATTAAATGGTATATCTTTTTCTGAAATATGTGGTGGCTGTTTGGTTTGTGAAAGTTTGGGGTGCAGCTTATATTGCAGGCTTTTTCCTGGGATCAAAACATCAATTTCCAGCTAAGATTTTCTGATATCTTGCATGTTTTACAAATCTATTCACATCTAAATGCAGCACTTTTTTCTAAAATATCTGAATTACTTTGAATAAAGCTTGAAATTATGTCCCTTAAAATAAATTAGGCACCAATGTTTTTGTAAGATATTTACATCAATCAAGGACATTCGGTAGATTGCTTTCCCACTGTTGTTTCAATCCCAAAACTTGTTTGTATTCAAAATTAATTATGACAATGCATATTTATATTGAAACAAACTATGATAAAGGGAATAATATTATACAACAAATGGCAAGGTCACCAGAGTTCAACTATGTTTTACAATACATATATGTCTTGATGTTGTCATACTATAGTCTTAGTTTTATTGTCATACTGCGCCAGCCAGACCCCCCCCCCCTCCTATCCCTTTCACTTCACTTCACCATAAACATGTACACCATCAGGATTTGTAGGATCTCAGATGATAAACGTTTTATATGTGTTTTTCAGACTATAGAAACAGTGCTACTTGCTTGTAAAGAACTCTACAACAGCGATAGTTTTGTGTCAGTCTTAGGTTATGTGCTCACAGTCGGTAACTACATGAATAATAGCAGCAGTAAAGGTACTGCATATGGATTTAAACTGGAAGCCCTGAACAAGGTAAGTCATAAACACAAGATACTGGTACATATCAATTATTTTAGTTAAAAAATTATTATAATGATTATTAAGTTTAATGGTGGGTAAGGTATATCAGATAATATGAGGTTATTACGAGGATATCTCAAAGTTTGCACGAAGACAGTACAGCTGGAGTATCGACCGACGTGCAACGTACTGTCTGAGTGCATACTTTGAGGTATCCTCGTAATATCCTTATTATTATACATCTTTTCCTTCCAAGGATATATCATGGAAATGCCGAAATCCAAAATGTTTAGAACAGAATCAGCGAACTTCTTTGTGTGGAGTCCGATCAAACTCTGGTGGCAGCCATGTTTGTTTTTATTATTCGAGGATGCTTACGTGCATAATCATTCCATGTTTGGAAGTTTCCTAATAACGGTATGGTAGGATGAAAATACCCCATAAAAATACCACAAAATTATGGTACGCTGTAACTTATGGTGTTACGGTGACAGATGTATAATAATACTTGTTATTCTTTTTGTGATGTAGTATAAATGTAATTTAAATCCTAACTCCTGATGTGTCTTGTGTAAATAATTTATATATTGAATTTATTTGGGAGCTTATCTCATGATGAGATCAATGTTATGATCAGTGTCCTTGACAGTTCTTCACTTTTTGTTAGAGCCAAGTATAAAGAAACCAATAAGTTAAAAGCACTAATATAAACAAGGGCAAGGTTTTTATAGTCGTGCTATGTTAGTGAAGGTTTTCTTGATGGTGTGTACTCCTGTGGATTTCCAGTCTGTGTCCTGCCACACATCTCAGTTGCCATATTCTAGTTTGCGTATACTGCCCTCAACGGTATTTATTTGAAATTATGCTGCAGGACACAGACTGGAGAAAGGCAGCAAGGGTTGGACATTTGGTTGACTGGTAATACGACAGAACCCTGTGGCCAATACTAGTCAGTGAATCATGACATTGGTTAAATTTTAACAGATTTGATGCTGCAGAGGTATTCACTGGATTATAAAGAAAACAATACATTTTATTACTACAGTACTACACAAACACCAAATAAGTAGTAAACTGTAGTATATATGTAACAAATTGTCAGAATCTGTTATCTATGCTGTATACAGTCAGCCAGTTATATGCAAAACAAAACATGAAAGTAATTTATATATATGGTATGACTGTTCATTTTCGCACCTCAGAAAAATTGACAGACACTATGACTATGACTTGAAGTTTCCAAGTCTCTCTCTGGTCGTCATTTCGGTGTTCATGGTAGAGTCCTAGTAATGTAGTGGTCAGGGACTGGAATTGAGTCGTGTGCTTTTGATGTGATGATACTGTAAAACCATTTATTTTTACTGGCATTAAATTTCACTATTTTTTATATTTTGAGCATATACATTAAGTTGTAAGTTGAGTGAATGAGTTACTATAAAAGGATTAATTATTCACTGGGTTTTAATTTTGCTTATTTCGCTGACTGGAAATGTGCTAAATTAAAACCCAGTGAATATGTAAATAAATAAGAAGACCGTGAACCCACTGAATATGCCTGAAATGGAAAATCAGCGAAATTTAAACCCAGCGAAAATTAGTCATTTGGTTATTTTACATTTTCAGTGTGGAATTAACTTGGCAGTGTTTACTCATTAATTTAAAACCCAGTGAATAATTATTGTTATAATTGCAATCTGATTATATTTCTGGTTTTGACAGTTGGCGGACTGCAAGGGTCATAACAAGAAGTACAGTTTGTTACAGTATGTAATAGAACAGATAAACAATAACGATCCAACACTTCTAGGATTTACTGAAGAACTGACGCATGTGGAAAAATCAGCTGGTGGTAAGTATCTGGTTGCCTGGCAACATGGCTGAGAACTTTCTTTTTACAATAATGGTAATCACAGAATTGGGTCAAGTGTGGTCGTTGGTTTTGTTGTTGTTGTCGGTGTTGTTAATCTTTTTTCCTGTGGTCATGATAAATCAGAGTTTTGAATTAAAATATGTCACATGACTGGCATAAAATTGTTATGACATTGTTTAAGTACTGTAAAATCTGTATTAGAAGCCACATTTCTAATAGAAGTCGCACCCATTCTTTTTGAACAATTCAGAACCAAAAATTCATCATTTCTCATATGTGTAGATGCTCTAATAGAAGCCGCATCCCCTCTGTTGCATTGTATTATTCTAATAGAAGCCACAGCTTCTAATACAGATTTTACAGTATATAAGTACTTTATTTTCACTTGAATTTATTTTCACTATCTTTGCTGAGGGGATAAGTCAGTGAAAATATCTTCAGTTTTTTCCTATATATATTACATTCAAATCACTAAGTGAAAATAATTTAAGCTAAAATAAGATATTTTACAGTAGTTCATTATGAATATATACATATCTGGCGTTTTAAACTTTTATACAATAACGTTTAACATTTTCTTTTTATAATTCAGCCTCAATAATGGCGTTGACTGCTGAAGTGGACGGTGAGTATGTTTCACACATGCGCCACATTTAATATTGCTTTTAATATAATACTAAAAATCATATCTAAATTTCATATTTATTGACTTGATAATTAAGAACCACAGTGATGTTGATTTCTGCTCTAATCAATGACATAGCGATGTTAATTTCTCTAGCGACATTTTATTGTTATGACACCTTTACCCATTGAGTACCAGAGTCGCAAAATATATCCAACAACATCTGTCATTGTTTTTTACATATAATTATTTTAACAACCTGTTAACAACTAGCTATGTTGTCAAAAATGAACTGAAATTTATTATTATTATGATGTTTGTTGTAATAATTTAATGAAAGGTAACATCAAAATATGTTGTATAAAATTCATGGATATGCGACCATGTGATTCTTTTTTCATCACAGCCTATATTGCATCGTGCAATATAAATAAAGACAAGTTTTTTTAATCTTGTGTAATTTTATGATCTGGAATGTAATCAGTATGGGGTATTTTTAGTGCAAATATATTTCATACATGCAAATATAGCTTGTTATCAAATGCTGAAG